ATAATTTTTCACACCTTTTATTTAAAAGGAGATTTAGCAGGGGTAAAACCACTAACCTTTATATTAGTAGTGAACTATTTAAACTACTCAACAACTAGAATGTAAGTGTTCTATAATGTTTATCTATTTAAAAACTAGGGGATAAAATGAGAGATAAAGCCATATTCAGAATCACAGAATAACCTCCCTGTTTCTATATAGCAGACTAGATAAACCTCTACCCTAGGTAATTTCAAAGTCTAAATGGAGTTTGACTATCATCCTTTGGTGTGTCACCCAGAACTACCACATCTCCTCTTTATTGCAGGCTCTTAGTGTATAAATCTCTAGGTTACAGGGTCATGATATTGGTCAATTTCTGAAACAAAGAATCTCAAAATGTTAAAAAGATTTTGCTAATTATGGCAGAGTTTAGACATAGTCATTCAGCATTTTATTAGAAAATTCATTAGAAAATAAATTGTAGGAAATAATTTAGATGGATGAAACTGGGATTAATGCGGTTACTCACTTAAAATTCCTCTTCCAAATTAAAAATTATATACCTCATTAGTTTATAGGGCATGAAACTATGAACCACTTTAGGTTGGTTTAAAATCTACTCATCTTTGCAAAACTTCCTTGTTTGAATAAGTAGAAAATGTGTTTACTGTATGCCTACTGTGTTTCAAAGGCAATACACGTAGCCTAGTTTAAAGCAATGGAGATCTGGTGGCCTAATGGGTAAGAAGGTGTGCTGCCAATCCAAAGGCAGGTGGTTTGAATCCACCAGATGCTCCTTGGGAGAAAGATAGACAATCTCCCCTCGTGCTATTTACTCCCTCTCCAAACCTACTGAAGGGTCAACTATGAATTGGTTCCAATTCAACTTCATATAACAACAACAAAAGCAGGCTCTTGCGTTGCTTCCCCAAAAGCCTCTCTGGTAGTTTGAATTAACTAACCTCTTGGAGGGAGAAAAATCAATACTCTCCTTTCATGCAATTTATAGCCTCAGCAACCCACTGGCGGTTCAGCTACCAGCCAGCTCTGACTCAATGGCAATAAGAGACTGTGCTTCAGTTACCAAGAACAGCATCAGAAGTGGCCAGGAGTTGTTGCATTCGAAATGGTGAGACAGACACATGCACAGATTACTAAAAGATGCCAGGGTCTGAAGTAGGATATTTAAAATATGACTGAGGAAGACAGAAGAGGATAAGACTTCTAATTCCATCTAGAAGCATTGAACAGTAAGCACTTCATTAACAAGGTCGTATTTTATCTTGGAGCTAAAAGGTAAGTTACATCTACCACGCAATAGAAGCCAATGGGCCAAGTCAAGTGAAGAGAACAAAATATGTTTGGAATAAAATAGGGAACTTAAGGAATAGCAAGTGGCTCATGGCGGCTGCAGGTTAAGACGTTTATGGAAAAGAAGCCAGTCACAAATGTGGACAGAGAAGCAGGGGCTAGATGATGGAGAGCTAGAAACATGCTCCCCTTATTCTCTTATGACTATTTAATGCTAATAGATTGCAAATCACAGTCAATCTCAGGAGAAGTATACACGGAGAAATTTGTTGTAGAGTTTAATGCAGTATTGTTAATAATTTTGTTAAATAAAAAAAGAAAGTTATTGTGTATATTTTAATAAAAAAATATCATTCACCAGTAAAATATGAGATACTTTGGAGAACAGCATAATTATAAGCATGCTTTGATGTCTACTATTTGTTAAATTGCTCTCCTTAGTAAGATAAGAACATAAACAGATCACGGTTTAATTCCTTGAGTAAGTCTAAAGATGGAAAGGGTGAGTGAAACTTCATCAAGTAAGAAGTCAGCTTGCCTCTACACCATCAGCCTGCCCAGATGGGCCCTGGGGTGAAGCAGAACCAGTCTCGGTTCTGTAACACCAAGTAAAGAGCAGAGGTGAAGTGCAGAGGATGTGGCATCGGGCATTTTAGGTGCACCTTCTTCTAACAGCAGGAACAGAAATCCTATTTCTCCCCTGACAGTGCTTCTCATGCTTCACTTCCCCCGGAGCTCACAGGGACCTGAGAGCACAATCCACACTTCCAAAAGTGCCATTAGCATTACATACCCCGCTATCCACAGCCACTCATTACGATGGCAATGCCCAGCCACAGTACACAGAGTGAGTAGAAACTGAAGCCCATCCTGCTGCTTCCTTCCTTAACTGTGTTTTTAAACTAGAAGATCCAGTAAATACAGTTTTCATCCAATTTTAAGGTCTCAGATCTGAAAATAGCACACACTGATAGAACCATGTGGTGGGCACGGGAAGATTCTTCCCTCATTCCTCCCTGCCTAAATTCCTCTAGCTATTCAGAGGAACCATCTGCATCACTTGCTAATGAGTTTGGACATGGTCCTAGGGGCAATGGGGAGCCATTGGAGGTTGTTAAGCAGGGGAGAGAGATAATCAGATTTGTGATTGAGAAAGGCAGCTCTGGCAGCAGCAGGGATCGGAGAAAGCAGGCTCTGTAAAGAAAAGGTCAGTTTGAGGCCTCCACACCAGCCTGACTGATGATGAAGCTCCAGTCGGCAGCAGTGAGAGTAGGCAAGGGGGAGGAAGAACAGAGTGGGGGCTGGAGACATGGAGAGTTACCAAGGTTTCAAGCTAGAAGGCCAAGTTTGCCACCTACATGTGACAGAGAGCTAACGTCAATATTTTATCAATGGTACTAGATTCAAATGGGATTTGCAAGCCAAGGGGTTTGTTCATATATAAATGTACAAAATAATTCTTGGGAAATTGGTGCTCTTACTGTTTTACCAAAAGGATAGGAAGGAACTCTGGTGGTGTAGTTCTTGGGGAGGTGCACTGCTCACCCAGAGGCAGGAACTCTGGTAGCTCACAGGAAAGAGATGGTCAACCCCCTCCTGTGGGATTCACAGCCTTTGAAAAACCACTGCAAAGTCAACTATGCGTCTGTTCTGACTTGCCAGAAATGGGTAAGAGTATATTACAGGCACTGGAGAAAAAGATAACAAATGATGGTATGAGCAAGCATTTGGTTCTGATCTACCACATCTTAGCTGTATAATTTGAGGTAAGTCACATTACTTCTCTGTTTTTATCTCAACTCTTAAGTGAGAATAGTATAAAACTGCATACAGAGTATTGCAGTTAAATCCCATCAAGCTGGAGCCAACTCACAGCTGACCCTCCAGTGGGTTTACAGAAGCTGTAAATTGCATTGGAAGAGACTGCCCATCTTTCTCCTGAGGAGCAGCTGGTGTGTGCTTGAACTGAGTGCTGTTGGGTTGGCAGGTAAGATAACTCCTTATCTATTAGTTCACCAGAGCTCCCTTGAAAAGCATTTTTATGCGTAAGCACAGGATTTCATAGCAGCACTGCCTTCAGCTTAGTGCCTGTCATGTAGTCACCTTTTAATAAATCTTTTATTTATAACTGCTTCACAAAAATCAATTTTGAAGACATGAAAGTCTACTTTCAAAAAAAGAGGAAACCTCAGATTACTTTTCTTCCTGCAGTCAACATTACTATGTTCCTCCAATGGTTCAACAAAAAGAAATAATGGGAGGGAAAAGGCTGAAGAAAAACAAACTTAAATCCCTGAGAAAGAACAAGAGAGAAAGGTAAAAACAAATTCTCAGTACAGGGTATCTTGAGGTTTGGTCTTTTGAAGACCACAGTACTTGCTTATAAATAGAATATTAAAATAAGCAAGAGCAATTTTCCCTTTCATATTCCCTTATTGCCTAATTTTCCTCCCATACTATTTGCATAATGGGTAAAAGGCATCCATTATGCAAATGAATGATAGGGCTGTAAGGGTGCTGAAGCCACAGACCGTGCTCCAGATGAAGAGAGGCTGACGTTAAGCCCTCCAACATCTACTTCTAGCAGATTGCTCTGCTAGCTTGGTTGACAAAAAAAAGGAGGAATATCACGACAACTCTAGGTCATCAGTTTCTGTCTGGTTTATTTTAGAATGGCCATTACAGATACCTTTCAGAAAATTAGTAGAAAATATAGATGCTAATTATGATGCATAAATTTCACTTGATAATATAAAGAAGCAACATTGCATAAAATTCACTTTACAATATACATTTTATTTCAAATGGGCAAAACCATCACTACGTGCTTTATGTTTTTAACCATATGCTTTGAGCGATAAGATTTCTTTTTGCAAAGTGAAATTAGCTTTTGTTCTTAGCATAGAGAATTAACCACAACAGGTGCTCAGAATTGGTCCCCCCAAAAGGTGTGCATACATTCAACAAGAATGCAAAACTTCTTTATGTATCAAGATAGTAGTAGATTTCAAAAAACTTCAGACCATTAAAATGATAAAAATTCATCTTCAAGAAGGATCACCTAAAACTAGCATGTTATTTTTCCTGGAGTTGTAAATTGACTGAAACCTAAGAAGAATGTTTACTTTTTCATCTTGCCAACACCTCCAAGACAAATATAACCAAAAAGGAGTCAAAGAAAAATTATTGGGTGATTGTTCTTGTTCTAATAAGTCTGCAGGAGAGGATTTAAAAAAATGGATTCTACATATTTTCTCCAAATACTGATATCTATAAATCTTTATATCTATAAAGAAAGTGACTAAGAACACAAAATGACCTTTATTTCAAATAGTAATTCCTTAGCTTTTTTCAAAAGTATTTTTTCAAAGAAATTTTTAAAAGTGATTTTCATAGGATACAAGTGAACTTCATCATTTAAGAGTCAACTCCTCCTCTGTGCTATTTCAAGGGCCTACCTACAGATGAGATGCATCTTCAGTTAAAAAAAAATTAAAAGAAAAACCCAAATTGTAACTACTTACTTATGAGAAATAGCAGCTGCAAAAAGCTATGTCACAAAAAATAAACATGATTTTTAAAAAAAAGACCAAACTAGATTTTATTTAAAACATCAAGAGGATAAGAGTCATAAAGTAGAAGCAAGAAGAAACAAGCAAGAAAATTATTTTCACCAAGTGAAAGCATATCACTAAAAATACACTTACCGGATTTCAGAGCAGAAGGGGTTACTTCTATTTCACCCCCAATTGGCTTGAATGCAGCCAGTTGGGCAGCCATGTCCCTCTCAAAAGCATCTGGGCTCTGCTGGTCTGTCAGGTTTCCACTGGGGCTCTCAATCTTGTGAAGTGGTTCTTGCTCGTCAAACACAGCAATCAGCTACAAACAAACCCACCAACACTAATTACTTTGCAGGATACGTATATCACACGAATGTGGTATCTACTTGATGGTGATGTTTCTGTGGTTTTAAAGAAAATGACCTCTTGAAACTTAAACCTTTGTAATGTTTCTGTACTATTGCTTTTAACTCTTCAATATAACTAAACTCTAACACGACAGTGGCTGGGAAATAATGAAAAGGCTTTTTGTTTTGTTTACTTCTGAAATAGGGAAGTAATTCTGGCCAAACACATTATCTTAAAAGGATGGAATGGGTACCCTTCTCCACTCCCTCCTTTCTCCTATATGCACTATGGATTTCAGTGACTCATCAAGAGGGTTCCCTCAATGGAAACCGAACATATAAAAGTAGAACAGACTTACATGTTGTACAGCACACAACTCGGGAAACTTAAACACATTTTAAAATCCCTGATTATAGCTATAGTGTTTACTATATCTTGTATACATAGCTGTCTCATTCATTTTGTTACATGTCTTTTCCTTTTTTCTCTTCCTTCCTTCAAGTGCACCATCAAGTTTAAACATAATGAACACTGAGTTCGATGGAGATAAAGATATGTTCATTTACCATTGTCATATCAACTTTATCTCATATGAGACTTATGGTTCTTATCATTAATATAAAATTTTAATTTTTTTTCTTTTCAAGTTACTCTTCTATAAAATAAAAGAAGTATAATAAAGAGATTCAAGCAATTGTGCAAACACTACTGTGTTGAAGAAACCAGAACAGCCCTTGAAATTACATTTTTGGCCAGCATACAGTATCACCATAGGGTAACTTGAGATGTCTATCAGCTAATAAGTAAAAGTCCAGAACTGATTGCAAAAGGCAGCTCAGGGATGTGACTGTCAAGCCAACAAAACGCCCTGTACACAAGCTAAAGATCTAGCAAACCTTCAAGTATTTTTCATTCATTAAATAAAACAAATCTACTTATGAATCAAACATTTATTCAGTAAAGGGACTCAAAGCCTTATTCACAGGGGAACCTTGTTGGCAATAATATTAATAATACAAGTAGAAGGGTAACCAATCAAAACATCATAAATTCCAAGTTCAGTCTTTCAAAAGAAACGAATACAATTAGGGATATGCAAATTGGATATTCGAAAATAATTTTCATAATTGACTACTCATTTTCAGTATGGAGACTTCTTTAATTGGAAAATCCAACAGTACTCTCACCAACAGGAAAAAAAAAAATCTACTTTTGAAATTGAGGACATAACATTTTCTATTTTTAATTGGTGTTATTTATGAACTGATTTAAAACTTAAGTGGATTAATAATGATGGATTATTCTAAGATGACAACAATCTATAGAAGTTTATCTTTCTAATTATCTGATAAAAGAGAAAAAAGAATCACATCGCACTTTAACCCTTTCAAGACTCATGGGACAAATATCACCCACCAATATTTTCAGTTTCTTGAAACTGTTTTCACAGTTCTAGTACATGCTACCCCTTCACTTGGACTTGCATACTTGTGTAAGCCTAAAAAAATTGACCTCAATCTATTGGCTTTACCACCACAGTTCGCATGGGACATAATCATTATCAAAATTCTCATTTCCTTTCATTACTGAAAAAAACACAGTATCAACAAAAATTCAAAGCCAAAAATAGTTCCATAATTTAAAAAAGCTTAAATTTTTAAAAGAAACATAAATGTATAAAATGTGATGAAGTTTTTATATTTATCATTATACCTATGTTTGAAAATGCTCATGGTATCAACTGGCAACAAATATTAGCTATGTTTATTCACTGAGATTTGAAAGTTTATAAAGAATGTTGGTTTTCATGAAACCATTTATACATGTATATGTTACAACATCAGTCACAAAATTCACAATGAAATCACATCTTCCCACTTCCTGTCAGTTTTATTTCCATCAATCCTTCCACATTCTATCTTCTGAGCTTTATTTTTGGTAAATGCTGCTTTTTGATATCACGTGGAAAATTACTCTCAAGAGAGCTATTGTCCACTTGGTAGGCTTCTATCTACTCTATGTTGAAAGTTGAACCACAGAAGTGGGGGTGGGGGATGATCTTTTTTCCAGTTTCAGAGAGTGACTAAGGGCCATAGCATTAGAGATTTTATCAGTCTCTATTGGATCAGTAAGCCCATTTTTTTTTATGTTTCTTAGTTTGTCCCGCATTTTGCTATCCAAGATCTTCTACTGCAATCACTTTTAGAGTGGTCAGTGGTGGTAGCTGTACTACACCTTCTTCTTCTGGTCTCAGGGTCAACGAAGTTGAGGCCCATTAGCTCACTGTACTGTTTCTAATTATCTTTGTTTTTCTTCCCTCTTCTTTGTTGCAGATAACACAGATAATTGCACCATAAATGACTACTCATTTTAATACTCCAGCCACTACTCACCTTGTAGGATATAGAATACTGCCTTTTTGGATAGTCAATTGATCTTGACATTCTTGAGACTATGGTCCCAAAACACCACGTTTAAGAACTCTTTCCGTCAGAGTGTTTGGTTGTGATTAAAAAATTTCTCTAACTTTGCCCCCTATTAGCTCTGCTATCCAGAGATATAGATAGCTATGTTGTTGTTGTTGTTGTTGTTGTTGTTAAGTGCCGTCTAGTTACAGGAGATTCATAGCGACCCTATGAAGGAGAGTCCTCAACACTTGTGTGTCTCTCATCCTCTCTGCAGGTTCATAGGGTTTCCGGACACAAGCTATTACAGAAGTAGATGCCACTCCTGCTTCCAAGCTTGTTTTAATTGGGGAGCTTCACCCAACACTGTCCGCCAGAGGACAAGAAGCCAGAGGCCACGTGCTGCTGACCCTACTAAGCCTCCCAAGGCACTAGGCCTGGCACGACCTTTAATTATCTATTATCCGGAATGCCCAAATGCTGGCAAACTCTGGGCCAGACACCCCCAGCTCATCTGGCAAGTGCATTCTGCCAACCCCCACTTGGGGTAAATAGAATGCCACAAGCACCTGGATCCCTCCATATCTGTAGCTCAAGACACCAGAGGCCACATGCAGCTGACACTAAGTCTCCCATAGATAGATATAGACAGATAAAGAGATAGATATATAGATGATATAGATATATGCATAGAAATATCATTGACACAGTGACTGAGATAATGTGCTTGATTATGGAAGAACTGCGAGGATGGTGCAGCACAAAACAAGGTATTGATCTGTAGTTCATAATATCACTGTGAGTTTTAGTGAACTGGATGTTGTTGTTGTTATGTGCCATTGAGTCGTTTGCAACTCATAGCAACCCTATGTACAACAGCCCTAAACCCTGTTCTATCCTGTGCCAATTGCACTGCCTCTGACACAGCCATCCCCATTACCCCAGTCACTGAATCAATCCATCTCATAGAGGGTCCTCCCCTCTTGTGCCATCCCTCCACCCTCCCAAGCATGATGTCCCTCTACAAGGACCTGTCCCTCCTTGCAACATGACCAAAGTATGTCAGATGAAGCCCCAGAATCCTTGCCTCCAAGGAGTTGCTTGGTTTAATCCTCTCTAGAATGAATCTGTTTCCTTGGAAGTCCATGGTACATTCAATACTCTTCTCCAGCACCACACCTCAAAGGCATCAATTCTCCTTCTGTCCTCCCTAGTCACTGTCTAACTCTCTGATGCATAACAAGTGATTGCAAAGACCACGGCCTGTATCAGGCACACCTTAGTCTCCAGAGAGACACCATTGCTCTTGAGTACTTTAGAGAGGTCAACAGTGTACTTACTTTCACCTGTCCATATTTGTTCAGCTTGCCTTAACTCTTAATATAATGTGTACCTTAATTATTGGGAAAAAGAGAAAAATTAGAATCTCAATCAGCAGTGCAAAGGCATAAGATTCATAATTTATAAGATGAACCATTATATATGACTTCTGTAGGACTTTGCTTTGATGTTTTAGTATATTCCATAAGACGATATCAACACAAGTTTATAAGGTATATCATAACAGTGTCGTTGTATTCCACTGAGTGGGAACTGACCCATAGCTAACCCTCCAGTGGGTTTTCAGAGGCAGTAATACACAGGAGACTGTCAATTTTTCTCCCGTAAGAAGCTGGTGGATTCAAAGCTGATGCGTTCGGACCATGTGCCTTCAGGATTGCAGCACAGCTTCTTACTACTAGGCCACTGGAGCTCTCTATAATAATAATAATTTTATATCTATTAAATATAAGGCTAGATTTTCAGAGATTTTTTTTTTTGTTTTTCAAGGTCAGACTAAACAGTAATTGGTACTGGAAACTACTTAATGTTCACCCAGGGTTTTAAGCAATGCTATACTAGTTAGCCAAAAAGAAAACAAAAAAGAACAGCTGTGCCGTAAAAGTCCCTGCTGTGTAGTATTAGTATTTGTAATTGACATATGAGAGTGTTATATACTAAGAGGATTTCTCTCTTTAAGGCATTATTAATATATCACTTTTCTCTGAGATGACAATGGTATTATTTAAAGACTTCACAAATATGTAACTCCATTGCTGGGTTTATGGCCCATTCCCATAACTGAACTGTAATTGTCTCAGCAAAGCATATTATGGATAAAAGTTCTTATGCCTTGGAGTGTAATGGTTAAACACTCTACTGCTAACCAAAGGCGGGCTATTCCAACCCACCCAGCTGCTCCATGGAAGAAAGACTGGGCAATCTGCTTCCATTAAGATTACACTGTAGAAAACCATGTGTGCCTGTGCAGCTAGAAGTTTGAAAAATGGCTTTTCAGTTTCTTGCATGAGCCCTAGTTGGAGGCATGGTCTCTAGCTATCTCAACTGTGGATGTATGATCTTGTAAAACATCAACAGCTGTGGGACCAATATAAGAGAGCACTTTCCACACTGTGAAGAGACTGTGGTGAGACTGCGGAAAGGTGTATGTAGTCTAATAGAACCCTGGAAATCAAAGTTAAAGGTTTTGCTTCAGGAAGATTGAATGAAAAGCTGACTTGTAACT